GATTTTAACAGTGAAAAGTGTGTCAGTTCGTGTATGAGAAAGAGATAGATAGATAGATAGATAGATAGATGGAGAGAGAGAGAGAGAGAGAGAGAGAGAGAGAGGACTCACCGCCAGAGTTGTTGCACCGGTGAATGTTCGTCGCCTCGCCGATTGTGTGGTTCCCTGAGAGTGTGAGGACTGAAGAGAAGAGAGGTTTGACTAAGGGGAAAGAGGTGAAAGAGAAGAGAGGTTCGACTTAGGGAATTAGGGTTTTTTAAGTTTAATCTATAGGTCGGGCCGGGTTGGGCTATTTTGGCAAATCCCAAGTCCAACTCGAATTTATTGCGGGTCGGGCTTTTTATCTCGGGGGCTCATTTGCGTGTTCAAACCCGTCTAGGGGCTGGGATCAACTGAGCAGGATGGCTATTCATTAAAACCAATGATAATGTTGTATGCGAGTAATAAAATAGATAGAGTCTACACTTTTCATGTCAATAATAATTTCATGAACCCCACCCTAAAAAGCAAGTGTCCAATGTATTTTATTACATTATCATTGGTTCCACACCTCCTTCAGCCTGGGGCTCACTATGAAATTGACTTTGTTCATTTAGAAGTCAATGGATTGGTCTCTTGGACACATATCGAGAGACTCAATCTTTTGTGGGCCCTCACTTTTGTGCGGTGGTTATACAATGGATTGGTCTCTTGGACAGGGGCAAGATCTACTTATGTGGCCCAACTTCTATAACGTTTATCACGCCCTATCTTTGTTCTTTCCTTTCTTGGCAAATTAATCGGTGTGCTCCCTCACCACAAAAATTTAAGAAAACAGAAAACAAAAGGAAGAAAGAAATGAAAGGGATAATATGGTCCTCGACATGGATTGGTCAGTATCATTGTTCCATAGAATGCAATTATCAAGATCAAGAATGTTGTCATCAAATTGGACGGTCTAGATCCACGTAAAGATCAAATGTACAAAAGTGACTACAGCTACAACGATGAAACCGAATCATGGCGTTCTGACAACTTCGGAACAGAAGAGAACGTTGAGATGCCCGACAACAAAAACAAAAGTGATTACAGCTAGAACGCTATAGTTCGTTGAAGATTCCCACCCGCCATGGAAATTCGTCTGTGCGATTTTCAATAATTTTTTTTCTTTCAAACAATATTGAATTTCCATGGCACAAATTCGTTGAGAGAGAGAGAGAGAGAGAGAGAGAGAGATTGGCCTCGTACAAGGCAATGCGGTTTTCGACGCTGAGTAGCCTAAGATGCGCAACTCTGATTTTGGGAATATTCAACTTGTTGGTAATGGTTCTGGGTGGAGTTCTGATGGTTGCGGCATATCAAGGTTGTCGACGGGGAGACGTTCTTCCATTTGCAGTTGTTTCCGTCACCGCTGGTGTAAGGATAATGTCAATGATCGGTGCCGGGATTGCGCAGGAAGCTATAGCAACGACGATTCTCAGTTCTCCAGCTGAGAGTTCTATTATTGACGCGGTTGTCCGCCGCCAAACACGGGTAGTTCTTAGTTTTTTTCTATTAATTATTTTTCTACCAGCTCCACTTCTTTTCTGTATCTCAGCTTTATGTAGTCTTTGTTTTTTCTTTATCTACTAACAATGTGGAGCTAGTAAAGATATAATAATTGCATTTTTATATGTGATTTTAATTTGTAATACGAAGCTTTGCTGGCAATTTGTGGTTATCCTGTAAAATCCGAGTAGTTGCTTTCCATCTTTCTGATCACAACCCCAAGTTCCCAACAGCATTTGTCTGGGCTTCTCAACAAGTAAGACAATATTTGAGGTTCTTGAAGTAGTAAACAGCACATCTGTCTAGTGTACGTGACTTTTGAGGATGGGATTCTGGAGAGTGGGAGAGTCTGCCTCTTGTTTGCTAACTTGGCATGTACTCCACAGACTACAGAGTTATAGAAAGACTTTATGACAGATTGTAGTAGATTCAAAGAAAAACTAGACCAAGAATAGGGAGAATATAAGAAGGAGAAAAGAGAAATGAGCGAATGGGGTGAGAAATTTTCTTGGTTCTCACGCTCCTCTTCAATAACTTTTATACGAAGAAATTAAATTATGAAGATACCCCTTATTAGGTGCTTAATGATTCAGCCAAGTACACAATACTTTTCAGCTCTCCTCAAGCTTATCATAGATGTCGTGAGATTATTTCCTAACTTTAGTATAGGAACTCCTTTAGTAAGACAATTGGCCACTTTTATTTATCTATTTTTTTAATGCATCATTCAGCTAGTTGATCTCTTGACTTAACAAAAGGTAAGCACACCTTGCCATTAGCAACATGTTCTCTGATAAAATGTCTATCCACCTGTGTGTTAATGTGATTGTGCTGCATAGGATTATGATCTATGCTTATAACTGCGTGATGATCACAATGTAACATCTTAGGCTACTCATATTCAACTCCCACCTTATTTAAGAGGTTACTTTCTTGGCAGTAAATAAAAAAGATAGTTCATTAAAATAAAGCAAAATTACATAACAAATGGTGATGGGAGATCGACAAACCAACTTTCAACAAAAAAAATGCTCAAGATTATATAGTTAACAAAAACCCTCAACAATTCCATGTCTAAAGTAGCCCAAACATCTGTTCCAAACAATTCTTTTGACACATCTTTGAAACCTTTTGTTTTTATCAGTACACATCTTTGAAATCTTGAAGAATCAGAATCCACTCCAACAGCTTTGTTCCGGCCCTTGAGCAAACCTTCAACTTACTTCTTGCCTTTCCTTCAAAGATTCTCCTATTTCTCTCCTTCCAAAGCTCCCAACGTACTGCAAAAGGAACACAGCTCCAAAAAAATTTTGCCTTTTTACTTCCTTGCATGGTTGTCCAACATGCGAAACTCTCATTAGGTAATATTGGGGACTACAATTCTAAGCCGAGCAAACAGAATAAGAAGCTCCAAACAAATTGCAAGTAGATGCAGCTGAAACATAGATGAAGAACATCCCCTTCCTTTGATTCACACAGAACGGACCTGCTAGCCAGCTGACCCCTTTATTCCTTGGGTGATTTTGCATGAGAATCCATTGCTACCATCCGTATGAAAGTTTCCACTCTTGGAGGAATAGGTTTGCCCCAAACACCCTTTACCATCAATCTATCAACCTAACTTCTTGCCAAAGCTTTATAAAATGGTTTCAATGTAAACCTACCATTCTTGCATTCTTTCCACCATCTGGCATTTGGTCTTTTTGTATTGATTTCTACTTCTTGTAACTTAGACAGCAACCAAATACACTCCTCATATTCCCTTTCAAATAGCAGTCTTATGAATTTTAGAGCCCATACAACTGCTCCCTTTCTTATTTCATAACATTGTGCTGTCTAATTAAGGTTGAGGGTTTGAGAATATGTGGCTAGGGAATCCTCAATTCAGGGAGTTCATAGAAAAAAATGGAATAAGGGGTTTTTGAAAAAGTGGTAGAAAGAAAAAAAAATGAACAACCGGGGGAGATGGACAAGATGGATAGGCTGGAATAGGAAAGTAACCTGTCAAGGGAAGGAAGAGAGGCAAAGGAGGCATTAAGGGAAAAACCGGAGAGGACAGTTCACTCTGAGGAGTTGGCTTGGAGACAAAAATCAAGGGAGCTATGGTTGAGGGAAGGTGATAAAAACACTTCATATTTTCAAGATTTAGTAAGGGGAAGAAGAAGAGGGAATAAGATTGTGGTTGGATGTTGGTGATAGAGTGGTGGATGAGAAAAAAGAGATTGTAGAAGAGATAAGGATTTTTTATATGAACTTGTATAAATCACCACAAAGAAGGGGCTGTTTTCTAGGGGGTTTGGAAGTTAGGAAAATTGATGAAGACTTAAGCAGATGGTTGGAGAGGGAGTTCAATGAGGAGGAGGTGTGGGGTGTTGGAAAACTATGAATGGTGATAAGGTGCTGGGCCTGGGTGGATTTAACTTGACTTTTTATAAGCATTTTTGGAGTATGGTTAAAGGAGACTTGACGGAGATGTTTAAGGAGTTGTGGATTGAGAAGAAGATTGAACAATTGGCAAATGAAAGTATGCAGCTTTTATTTTATTAATACCTAAGGTGGAAAGGGCATGCAGAGTAATAGAATTCAGACCTATAAGTTTAATTTCAAGTCCTTACAAAATAATAGGAGAGGTGTGACCGTAAGGTTGAGAAAATTTTTGCACCTAGTGATGGGTCCTAATCAGATGCCTTTTATAGAAGGAAAACAAATTCTGGATGGGGTGTTGATTTCCTGTCCGTTTGCATCCTTTATTTGGTCTTGGTTCTTTTCTCTCTTTAGTTGCAGGTGGACTCCTCCCCTGGATGTGGTAGGCCTCTTTGACCCAAACTTTTTCATGCAACCGAAGAAGTGGGGAAGAATTGTGTGGAGAGCTACAAGAGCAGCAGTGCTTGGTCAATTTGGGAAGAAAGAAACAACAGAATTTTCAAAAGCAAGACTAGACCCAAGGAGGAAATTGTAGGAGTGACTATAAAAGCCATCCACTGGCTAAAAGCTGTCAACTTGTGAGAAAGTGAAAGAGCAATGAAAGAGACAGAGGTTCAGATTTGTTAGGGTTGATCAATCTGATCGAACCAACCCAGAAAAGATATATTTATATTAATCTTATATAAATGGACAAGATTGTCCTTACAAAGAGAATAAAAGAACTGTACACTAAAGTACACACCTATTATAGTACAAGAAAGAAAAATAAAGTACAGTAGAATTACAAAACTACCCTTCAGTAGTTCTTCTACAAAAACAATTGATGTATTTAAAGACTTCTCAGCTGAAGATATTTATAGGAATTGGGGCGTTGTGGCAAGTTCAAGCGCCCTTAAACCTGCGTTAGAGGAATTTTGGTCCCCACCAACTCAAAACAGGATAAAGCTGAACTTCGATGGCAGTTCTTTAGGCAACCCAGGACCCCTGGGTATAGGGGGTGTGTTCAGAGATGGAGAAGGCAGAATTTTAGCATTGTTCTTGGGCCCAATAGGAGTGGGTGACTCTTTGAGGGCGGAATTAATGGCGTTACTACAAGGTGTAAGATCACAAAGCAGATAGGACTACAACAAGTAGAAGTAGAAGGGGATTCAAAGCTGGTAATAGATTGGCTGCAATCAGGTAGTTTGGGTGCATGGATACATAGACAGTCGTTGAGGGAAATAATCAGCCTAACAAGAGAAATTGATGTCTACTTCAAGTGGATAAGAAGATCAGCTAATGGATTAGCAGATACATTAGCTAAACAGGGGGCTGTTACGGGGAACATGTTTTGGGCAGTGTTGTAACTCAAACCCCTACTCTAGGGGTGACGTTGTGTTTTAGGTTCTGTTTAATGAAGTTACTGTTTCCAATAAAAAAAAGTGAATGTGTTGATACTAGAATAAGAAGTTGTGAGGAAGGGGTGGTTTGTAAATTTGACATGGAGAAGCCATGGCCATGTAGAGTGGGTTTTCTTGTAGGAAGTTCTTACAAGAATGGGTTTTGGGGAGAAGTGGAGTTGGATTTTTCATGGGATTCCAACAGAATTTCTTGGTGTTGGTTAATGGGAGATGTGATTCAGTCCAATAAGAAATAACAATAGGAACTGAAATTAGAGAGAAGATAGAGAAGAAATAAAAGAAATCAGAAGAGGAAGAAGAAGAAGATGAGAGAAGAAGGGAGAAGGAGAAAAGTGTTAGATCTAATCTCTCAAATTACTCCTAATTACTTTTATTAACTTAATCTTTATGACATAATTACAATGATGCCCTTAATGGGGAAGCTGGCTCATAAGCATAACATAAAAAGAACAAAAAAAAAGTTAACAAGCCCATATGGGAAGGCCCATTAACATAAACACATCTAATAGAAGAAGATAAGAAATGAAAGAACATTAAGGCCCATTCATCTTAGTCTCTCTACACTCCCTTTCAAGCTGAACATAAATGTCAATCATGCCTAGCTCATATAATGTAGCAACTTTTCTTTTGGAACTCCCTTCATCAAGACATCAGCTAATTGTTCTTCAACAAATGGTAAGCAAACTTCCCCTGAAACAACGTTGATGGCTGCTTGGTTGTCACAATATAGTATCATTGGATTCTCATAATCAATGCCCAATTCCTCCAGTGATCTAAGCCACAGTAAGTATGAAAATTCATGGGCCATTGCCCTGTACTTTACCTCAGTAGAAGATCTAGCTACCACAAACTGCTTCTTACTCCATGAAATGATGTTCCCTGCCACCATAGCATAGTAACTCGAGGTAGATCTCTTATCATCAATACATCCAACCCAGTCTACATTAGTATACGCCTCCAGTTTCATATGTCCATGTTTACCAAAAAGAATGCCATTCCTTGGAGTACCCTTTAGGTAACACAAGATCCTCTTAGCAGCTGCCATATGTGTCTGTAGGAGAATGTATGAACTGACTAATGACACTCACTACATAGGAAATATCGGGCTGAGTCATACAGAGATACAACTTTCTGAGCAGTCTCTGGAATACTCCTCTATCAACCAATCACCATCAGTGGCCGAGCAAATTCTCATAGAAAATACCAGAGTTCCCTCAAATCTTTGATTTCAAACTCAGTGTTAATAAATTTCTTGAGGCTAAGGACTTCTTGTGTATCATCACCAATAACTACAATATCATCCACATAAACAATGAGAAAGGTTGCCAAGGGGACTCTATTAGGAGCAGTAACCACAATAAAGTTGGATGGAACAAATTTTTTGGCATGGTCTTAGTCTATAAAGATTCATGTTTGTAGTAGAGGGAATTAGGGAAATGGAGGTACATCACTGGGATCAAGAAGAAACCTACAGAGGATGACCCTACTGGATGCAGGGCACTACCTATGGATGGATAGTGTGAAGGAGGTGTGGGGTAGTTCCACAGAGACCTATTCCCAGAAGTCAAATGTTGCCAGGGCACAAACTAAAGAATGAGTTGTAAATCACACCTGCAATAATCTGAATTAAAAGAAAAAAAAGGAGAAATGAAGGAGATTGAAGAGAGAGAAGTGATGGAGGAAGAAGATGGAAGAAAAGGAAGAAGAGAGAGTAGTTCGATCCTTTCTTCAGCCCCCCAACAATGTGTTTTATTCTTTGTTTGTAAAAGTAAGAACAATTACATGATTTCCCTTAATAGGGTGGCCAACACTAAAGATAACAATAAAAAAGAGAAAACAGGCCCATAACTAAGGCCTACTACTAACAACCTTAAGTTATAAACATAACTTAAGGAAAATAAAGAAAACTAAGGTCCATTCGGCCCATCATCTCTACACTCCTCTCAAGCTGAGCATAGATGTCAATCATGCCCAGCTTTCTTACACAGTGCTGTAACTTTGCCTTGGGAACACCCTTGGTCAAAACATTTGTTAACTGTTGCTCTGAGGCAATGAAAGGAAGGCAAACTTCTCTTGAAGTGTAAATGGAGGAATGTCCTGGGTATGTTGCTCAAGGGGAGGTAGGAAAAGTGTGCAAATTACGAAAGGCAATTTATGGACTAAAACATTTTCCGCGGTTTGGTTTGGTCAGTTTAGTGGGGTGGTATTGATACAGGAGTTTGGCCTACAGCAATGCAGTCTTTACTCTGTTTTCCATAGAGATACCCCTTTAGGAAAGATTATTTTGGCAATGTATGCTGATGAAATCACAATCACAACTAGTAATACATGAAGTATTGGTCAATTGAAATTGTTTTTACAGGAGAAGTTTCAGACTAAGGACTTGGGGCATCTAATGTATTTTTGGGTATTGAAGTAGCTAAGTCGAAGTGGGGTATTTCCCTCTCACAATGTAAGTCTGTGCTTGACTAGTTGGAAGAAACAGGATTATGAGGAGCTAGGTGATTGGTGGGTAAACTCATCTACCTTACCATTACTAGACCGAAACACCAAGATACCAATAGTGAGGGGGGATTGTTGGAAGATCTAGGTGATTGGTGGGTACATTCATCTATCTTACCATTACTAGACCTGATATATTATTTAGTGTGGGAGTGTTGAGTCAATTCATGTAAATCCCAAGAACTAATCACTAAGAAGGTGTCATCAGGGTGTTGTGCTACTTGATGGGTGTCCATGTAGAGGATTATTATACAAGAAAGGGGGAGAATTGGTGTTAGAAGGGTATTTAGATGCAGACTGGGCCAGATTTGCAACTGACAGAAAGTCTTCTACAGTCTATTTTACTTTTCTTGGAGGTAATCTCCTTGGAAGAGCAAGAAGCATCTATTTACTTTTCTTGGAGGTAATTTGGTTGAAGCATCTATTACAAGAAATTGGAATGGTTGTTTCTAAACCAATCAAACTACCATATGATAATCAAGCTGCAATCCATATCTTTTCTTCTTCTGTTCCATGAAAGGACTAAGCACACAGAAGTAGACTGCCATTTCATGAGGGAGGTCACTACTGGTCAGATTACTGCACTCTATGTATGGTCAGAGGATCAACTAGCCAATCTCTTTACTAAAGGACTGAGTTATACATGACTGAATGTTTGTAACAAGCTGGAGCTATATGATATCTATGCTCCAGTTTGATGAGAATGTTGGAGTTTTTTATTATTTATGTTAGTGGGACTCAACTATCATTATTTATTTTGTGAAATCAGGGGAATTTTGGTATTGGTTTCCTATCGGTTTCAACTGTCATTCTTTCCTTCTTCTCTCTAATCAATCTGAACTGATTTCCTATTTGTTTCTCCTCTATTTACATTTTATTTAAGAACATTCTTAGTTAATCAGAAATGCTATATAATTATCAAAAAAAATCAGAAATGCTATTTTAACTTAAAAATTAGAAAAGAAATAAATTAATTAACTGATCATGGAAATTGTTAAATTTTCAGATTTAAACAATATTTTTATCATTATACCATTTTCCAATATATACACACACACATATAATATATATATATATATATATATATATATATTCTTGTGTTTGACACTTCACATAAACCATTAATGTATGTTTCTAATAAAGCTACTTTGTAATTGTGTCTCAGGCCTGGGCAGTTTTGGTGTATATGGTTCAGTCCTGGGGAGGTAACATCTCGTGCCTCCTCCTAGGCTGATTGTACTATTGATATTTGATTTAATAAAACTACTTTCATTCATCAAAAAAAAAAATATTAATGTATGTTTCTAATGTGTATATACCTTATGTCTAGTCATTTCGACTTAGATTTAGTGCTATTAATGTATTTTCGGATTTATTTGATTTTCCTTACTATATTGTTTCTTAAACTGATATGTTGCTAGTCATTTCAAGTTTTCCACTGTATCCATGTGTTTCTTAAACATATCCTGATATGTCTCTTAAAATTGCCTTTGTGATAGTCTTTATGATACTCATATTTCGAACCTTGGCTGGAAGAATAATGGGGTATGGAACTACATTAGAGTTATGTGAATTAAAAGGGGTAGGTCCATTAAGGTAAAAATGAAATTTGCAACAGCAAGTTACAATTAGTAATACAGTACCTTCGGAGACCAATAAAAAGACAAATAAAACAAGAAAAAAATAGGGAGCTTTACCGTTTCAGAAGATATTGAATCCTCCTTGTCTTAAATCACATCAAACAACTGTGCCATAAGTGGCTAATTCTGTTCCTGCATTGGTCATCTAGTGATATCTCACCATATTATTATATATTCTGATATGTTAATTGAAGTATTTTCTGAATGACTTCCTAACCAAATGCAATATCATTTCACCTTGAGTGATGGACAGATGAGGTATAAAAGATGGCTATGGTGGACACGGTTTGCAATGATGATTACCGTTTTGCAATTTATGGGAGCAGTTTATTTAATGATCATTGCAGTGAATTATATTTCTCACTATGGAAAATCAAGTGACTGCTTTCTAGGTAAATTGCAGTTTGTCTTGATGCTTATCAAGCTTCTGAACTATATATATGGTGAATTCTGTTGAGAATCTGTATAACAAAAATGTCCTGTAATTCCTAGCACGAATTACAATACCATCTGTTTATTGGCTGGACATGATGATGTAGAAGAGATAAATTCAACATATAGAACTAGATACAGAAAACTTCTGTTACATAAATAATTAGACATGCAGCTGCATTACAGCTTAGTCAGTTGAAAGACCTGACATGATAATCTATTTTTTTTCGAATATTGCATGGTGGTCTCGTAATAGGGTTCTTGTTTATGAATATACATTCCCACGGATGAATTTCACCAACTTGTCCTTGAAAAACTTTAGAATTCGCCATCCTTTGGTGTCTTTAGGAAGAAAGAATGCCCAGTGCCTTTTAGGACAATAATCATTGATTTGATCATGATTAAGGTGGTTTATTGGGTGCTTTCCCCAGATTATTTCAAAATGATTTTATATCAATTGATGATTTGAGATTGGCTTCCAATATTGAGATCCGTTTACCATTTACATTGAGAGATTAGATTTGTGGGTTTCCCCTCTGAATTTCACCAAGCTGTTCTTTTTCTGATTTTTGTATCAATAACATGAGAAATGATCAAAAGAAGAAAGAGACTAATCCCATATTAATAAATCTCTTTTGATTGTTCTTGATTTGCGTATTTATAGTTCCTTATGTTTGAAGTTTCAGAGTTATTAAATAAGTTTTTTTCGAGAGTTGTTAAATTAGTTTAAGAGTTATTTAATCTTCTTTCAATTGAAATAAGATGGTGGAAATTTAGTAAGTTTCTATTTTTGAGTTAACAAAGGACAAGATGTACAGTAACTAATAGATCTCATTGAAAGGGGTGGAAGGAGAACATGTCTCGCACAAGAAGAATGCTGTTTCATTGAACCAGATTTCCTTGGCCCGTGTCTTCCTACCAAGATCTCTGCCTAGTTTCCCCACTAAGATTTCTGAGACCTGGTCAGAATCTTTAGCTATCCCCCTTCCTTTGAATTCTGTCCGTCCTAAGGAGATATTGATGAGAGCTGGTTCTCAACCTCAGTTGATACAGGTGTATCCCCCTTCTTCAATAATTGAGTATTTGTGGTCCTTTTCCCCTCATCAAACTCAGAACGTAAAAGGGGGTCAACAAATTATTCCTTCACTATCGATCGAGCATGCTCCGAAACACTATGGCCAAGGACGATGACATCAAGCAATTCTTTCTCCACACCTAATAGCCAACTTGAATCTTCCTCAGTCCTAACAGGACGAGACAACAATGTTGTAGCCTCCAAAACTCCGCAATCCCTAGCCCCTTCACAAATTTGTACCAAAGTTGAAAGAGCGCAAAGGCTCTCTTGGAATGTACCTTGCCTGTCCTCTAAAGACTCTCCTTTTGCATACGAATATTTTGTCGCAAAACACTTAAACTTACCCCTGCCATACACCTCGGTCATCTCCCCAGTAGACGTGTTGTTTCTCATTCGACATCCTCTGAGTTTTCCACTTCTTTGCTCGGAGCAGGGTAATCTCTACTTAAAAATGGGGAAAATTCCTGATAAGTACCCTGTACTTTGGCTCGAGTGACAATTCGGTCCCCGAACTTTAAAATGCGACGATTCAGTACCCAAACTTTCAAAATGTGACAATCCAGTACCCGGACTTTCAAAATGTGACAATCCAGTACCTGCCGTTAACCAGTCTGCTAATCATCCGTTAAGTGACATTTGAAAAGTCAAAAATGTCCTAAGAATGCCATCTAATTCTCTTTATCGACCATCCAAACATTGACAATAAAATAAACAGTCCCAAATTATAAATTCTTCTAAACAGTCACCAACTTTTTTGAATAGAAGAGGCTAGGATTTGGGACTGTTCAGTTTTTTGTCAACGTTTGGATGGTTGATAAAGAGAATTAGATGGCATTCGAAGGGCATTTTGGACTTTTCAAGTGTCACTTAACGGCTGATTAACGGACTGGTTAACGGTAGGTACTAGATTGTCACATTTTGAAAGTTCGGGTACTGGATTGTTGCATTTTAAAGTTGGGGACCAAATTGTCACTTGAGCCAAAGTACAGGGTACTGATTGGGAATTTTCCCTTAAAAATGAGGATGAGCTGGTCCTCTATTGGGTTGAGCCAGCCATTGGACTGCGCGGCTTGGTCCAGTTCAATTCTTAACATTTAGTCCGGTCCCACTTGGGTCAAAATTTGAAAAGTTATTATCTTTTTGATCCAGCGGCTTGGAACTTTTCAAATTTATAACGCTAACCCCTGACCTTTCATCTTCTGCAGAACCCTGGTTCTGCATCTCTACCAAATCCTTTCGAAGCACAAATGGAGTCTTTATGGTGAAAGCATTATGGTGAGAGTGGTTCATTGTGTAAAACCTATGAAGATTTTATCTGATTTCTCAACAGGTGATATCATGAACAAATGGAAGGAAGTGAATGTGAGAATGCTGAGATTATGGCTGTCATGGAAGGATTGCAAAAGGCAAAGGATTTGAATGTGAGAAAGATGATTGTAGAAGGTGATTCAAAGCTAGTATTGGAGTGGTTGCAAAAGGAAGAAAAAGGTTTCTGGACTTTCAATAATGAGAAAAAAAGAGATTCAAGTGGATGACTCAAGATATCTAAGTGCAGTTCAGTTGGGTTAAGAGGGCAGCAAATGGGCTTGCTGGTGTCTCATCAAATCAAGGTCTAAGAGGAACCAATTGTTTTGGGCTCAATTGTAATAGAATTTTTGTCTGTAGAGAGTTAAGAAAGATTACCTCTCCCTATCTTGTAATTTTTAAACATTTCTAATGAAATTCTGTTATTGATAAAAAAAAATAATACATTGGGTGTTGGCAAGTGAAGAATGCATGGGTGTCGCAACAGATGGACTATTTAGAGGCTAGCAAATTATAGCTGGTTTTTTCCATTAGGAATCAACCCAAAATATTGGAGCGGAGGTTTCCTGACACGGGCAAACTAAAAATTTAAACTTTGATGGTTTCAGCTTGGGCAAACCAGGTGAATGACAAAGAGGAGGGGCTGTAAGAGATGATAGAGGAAGTATCCTACTTGGCTTATCAGGACCATCATGATATGGCAATCCATTGAAGGATGAACTCATATGGCCATAATTTAAGGAATAAAATTGGAAGCTTTGAACAATTGTCATGTTGTCATCCATTGGATGTGTACAGGAGAAGAGATTTCTTGGACTTAATGGTTTATTGTTAGAGAAGCCAAAGCAATTGGTAGAAACATAAACTGCTTGTTCAGGTTGATCCCATGGATTGCCTATTGCCTTGCTGGCAATTTAGCAAAAACCATGGTGATGAAGAAGAGTCTTCTTTGGGGAATGCTTGGGCCTGGGAATGAATTGTAAAATTGTAAACAGAGAAATCTCTATGTCATGCCAGCTGTGAGCCGCTTGTAATTGTTATTGCTATCTATCTTTTGGCTAGCAAGGTTTTTACTGCCAATGAATACAATATACTTTTTTAACTATAAACAAAGAAAGAAAAAAAAGTCTGGTGAATAACACCATTGATAGGAGAATGTTGGGCAAGGGCAGGTTTTTGCTGATCAAAACAATATTGGGCAAGGGCAAACTCTACAACTCTTTCCCATTTTCTGAATGAAAACATGGACATTTTTATGTTCTTTGAGATTTATGCCTCCCTGTTTATTTTGGTGAATTGTATAATACTACTTTGCTGTAATTGTGTAGGACTTATTTGAACTCCTAACTTATATTTGAAATTCAGATTTTTGAGCATCTGATGGTGCCCATTTGTTATCGACTTCTCCTGCTCTGGTTGTCAACAAGTGCATGCCAAAACTTTAGAACATAATTTGGAATTGTTATTTCTTTTGCTTATAAGTTATGTTGGTATTTTCCTTCATTTCTGTTTCATTCTACAAGTAATATTATTATTTTGTATACTAAAAACAATATTTGGTTACTTTTAAGTGGCCTCATTTTTCTAATTTGGCATTTTAGTTGTGGGACAATTCCAGGAAATCATGTCAATGAGATGATTTACCCTTTCTAGATGAGGTTAAAAAAAGAATAAGAATAATAAAAAAAAATGTCTGGATACGAGGCTGTCCCCCAACTAGGGGTGTCAATGGACAGGTTTTGGGTGGGACTCTATCCAAATCAAAATCAATTTGGACCGATTGGACGGACCAATAAGACATTGGACTGGACCTGGTCGATCCGTAATGAATTTATATTGGATTGGGCCAACATCTGGTCCATTGATAGAAGATAAGAATACAGGTGCCAGTGGATCAGGTTTGAGTTGGAACCAATCTAAATTAACATGAATTTGAACAGATTGAATGGTCCAGACATTGAACTGGACCAGTTCAAAATGGTCCAAAATATTCATTGAAACCAGGTCCATTTGTAATGGACTTGCATTGGACTGGATCAGGTTGGACCAAGTCCAGTTCAATTGACACCCCTAGCCCCAACCGCTAGCATCCTTGTCTGTGTCTATATTCTAAATACCTATTTTGTGTGTGTGTGTGGGGGGGTGGGGGGAGTATTATCAGCCAATTGACCTTTTTCCTTGTTTTCATTCCTGGTTTATGTCTTTATGGTAATGGACTGTGATGGTGAAGGTAACCAATTCTTGATTTTGGGATATGAGAGGGTGAGGAGGTTTTTGACTTGTGTTTACCACAAATTCTCTTTTCTAGCTGTCAAAACCTTGATGATTTCTGGGGTTTTGCTACTTTCATGCATAAAAAAATTATTTTCTGCTTAAGATCAATCTTCTTTTCTTGTGTTGCCAAATCATAAAATGCAAGCATCACTTCAAGTCACGTTTCTCTTTACAGGGAGAGACCCCAATACTGAAAGCTGGAAGCAAAATTTACTGCTCTTATTTCTGATATCAGTGTCCTTTATGGTAGTTATACAATGCTTTACGGGATTTGATATATTAAAATGGCGGTCCTTTTATGAAACTCATGACAATGTATGGAAAGCCCATTACCGGGAGGTATTTGATCATGGAATTCGTGAGGCTTTGTGCTGTCTGGGGCGTGTCAAATACCTGTAGGTGCATTTGATCAGTGATATCAATTTAGTATCAGTCATATGATCCTCTTCTTCCTGTATGTTGTTGTGTCTTCTCTTCATTTTCCCAGGAGTGTATTGGAGGAAGATGAGGTTTACTTGGTGGCACAGCTATTGGGTGATCTTGTTACTTATCGTGCATCAGGCACTGGACATTTGGAATTCTTGGCAGGTCACTCTTATTCATACTTGGGATGTTTTCTTGTATTTACTATTATGATGCAAATTTGCATTAGTTATTAAATTTTGTGTATATTTAGCTTTTAAGAGAACTCTTTTTTTGACTTTGGTTCATACATAGTATATTTTCTTTTCCTCACCAACATTCTTACTGTATGAAAGTCACAAGATCAACATTCACTAATGAGGCTTTACTAATATTGACATTCTGTATGCAGACTGTTACGGATGACCGTGTTTAACCCTGCTGACATTCAGTACCTTGATTTGTTGGGCTTTCTTCTGTTTAACACATTAGTCCTGATACATATAAATGAGATGGATTGTCTAGTGCTTTTTATTTTGATATTTAAAACAATTTATAATGCGTCTTTACATTATGTTTGTTGAGGAACATAGTATTTAAAGGAGGGCAGTTAAGTCATTTAAGTGGGGTCACCATGTAGCCAGGTGGACAGGGGCATTTCGGTCCTTCTAATGTTGTTTTCCAGCACAGTAGAAAAGGGGGTTGCAACACCTCAATAATTCCTCTTCCTATAATTGTTTTTCTCTCTTTTCTTCTCTCCTTTCTCTTCTTCCTTATATTTTCTCAAACTTTTCTTCTTATATTACTTAATTTTTTAGTCATTTGATCTGCATATTAGGCATCTTGGTATTTGAGTAGGTTTCTCATTCTCTTATCCATGCACGAGGCCCATTTGCTACTAGGATCAGCAATGCATATGGGGATTTGAAGTGCTAAACAGTATTAGATCAAATTACCTGGTTTTTTGGAAGATATTGGAGAATTTCTTGGTGAGATTTGCAACCTACAAGGGCATTCTATGAACTTATGCCCAAAATCAAGAAAACCAGAGAAATAGGAGTTATGATCGATCAGAGGCCAAGAAATATTTTTGGAACTGGTGTTCAAGGTTCAGTTAAATGCTTTTTTTATTTTCTATGGAGATTGACTATTGTTTTTGGTGCTGTTGGGGCATGTTGTGCGTTTTAGTATTTATTATTTATGTATGTATGATCCTTACTCTTATTTGGATCTGGGGTATATAAATGGGTTAGCTTAGGACACAGTAGTTTCATAATCAGGGGTGTTATTGTAATTTGATTTCAGATATAAGAAATCTATAAAAAGGACACCTGGCCAACTGGCTGAGTTATGTTTTTGTCCTCAATTGGAAGTCCTGTTCTTGCAGGGTTTTCTCCCCTCTATGTCCTTTTATTTTATTTGTTCTACCTCTTTCTGAACACCATATACAGAATCTGTACATAGTATCTGTTGGAATAATGTTAAAATAACTTAGTTGCAGATGTTAGGGCCTGTTTGGCTAATTAAAGTGTTTTTTTATTTCTGTTATGTCTGTTATTGTACTCAGGGGCACAAGGGTCTTTTCCCTTGTTATTTCTGTCGCCCTATATATAGTAAAATAAACACTGGCGCCGC